TCATTGGTTAAATCCTCTAAACAAAAAAATCAGCAAAGAAACAGCAATGCTAAATGGATCAGATGGACTTAATTGACATCTTCAGAACATTTCATCCCGAAGCAACAGATTATACATTCTTCTCAAGTGCACATGGGACATTTTCAAAGATAGACCACATGTTAGGACTCAAGCTAAGTTTCTACAAGTTCAAGAAGATTGAAATCCTATCAAGCATCTACTCAGATGATAAAGGCATAAAACTAGAAATCAACTACAATAAAACCAAACATATGGAGGTTAAATAGCATGTTATTAAACAATGAATGGGTTACCAAAGTGATCGAAGAAGAAATTAAAAACATTCTGAAAACAAATGAAAATGAACACACACCAATCCAAAATCTATGGGACACAATAAAAGCAGTCCTGAGAGGGAAATAAACAGCATTACAGGTCTACCTCAAAAACAAAAACAAGAAAAACTTGGTAATAATCTAACTCTACAACTTAAAAAATTAGAAAGAGACCAACAAGAAAATCCCAAAGTGAGCAGAAGGAAGGAGAACATAAAGATCCAATCTAAATGACTCACTAGATCAGATGGAAATTGACATCCTCAGAACATATAACCCCAAAGATACAGAATATACATTCTTCTCAAGTGCACATGGGACATTTTCAAAGATAGACCACATATTGGGTAATAAGCAAAATCTCTCCAAATTCAAGAAGATTGAAATCATATCAAGCATCTTCTCAGAAAAGAATGGTATAATATTAGAAATCAACTACAATAAAACCAAACATATGGAGGTTAAATAGCATGTTATTAAACAATGAATGGGTTACCAAAGTGATCGAAGAAGAAATTAAAAACATTCTGAAAACAAATGAAAATGAACACACACCAATCCAAAATCTATGGGACACAATAAAAACAGTCCTCAAAAGGGAACTCCATAGCACTACAGACCTACCTAAAAGAAAAAAAAACCAAGAAAAACTTGTAGTAAGTTGTCTGTCACTAACACTTAAAGAATTAGAAAGAGAACAATAAGAAAAGCTAAGAATAAGTAGAAGGAAAGAAATAATGAAGATCAGAGTGGAAAAAAATGACATAGAGACCAAAGAAACAATACAAAAGATCAATAAAACCAAGAACTGGTTCTTTGAAAAGATAAACAAGATTGATAAACCTTTAGCCAGACTGATCAAAAAACAAAGAGAGGACCAAAATAAAATCAGAAATGAAAGAGGAAAAGTAACAATTGACAACACAGAAATACAAAGGATTGTAAGAAAATACTATGAATGACTATATTCCAACAAACTGGATAATCTGGATGAAATGGATGTCCGGAAAAATATAATCTTCCCAAACTCAGGAAGAATCAGAAAACCTGAATAGGACGATAACTACTGATGAAATTGAAGCAGTAATGAAAAAACTTCCAGGAAACAAGAGCCCTGGTCCAGTTGGTTAGTTAGAAGAACTAACACTGATCCTCCTCAAACTATTAAAAAAATTAAGAGGGACACTTCCAAGCTCTTTCTGTGAGGCCAGCATTACCCTAATTCCAAAACCAGATAAAGACACTATAAAGAAAGAGAATTACAGGACAATATCCCTGATGAACATAGATGCCAAAATCCTCAACAAAATATCAAATCAGATCCCACAATACATTAAAAGATTATACACCATGACCAAGTGGGATTTATTCCACTTGGGGATGTAAGGCTGGTACAATATTCTCAAATCAGTAAATGTTGTACATCACATAAACAGATTGCAATATAAAAATCACATGATCATATTGATTGATGCAGAAAATGCATTCGACAAAATTCGACACCCTTTTTAAAAAAATATATTTATTGATTGATTTCAGAGAGGAAGGGAGGAGAGAGATAAAAACATCAATGATGAGAGGAAATCAATGATTGGCTGCCTCCTGCACGCCCCCTACTGGGGATCTAGCCTGCAACCCAGGCATGTGCCCTTGGCCGGAATCAAACATGGGACCCTTCAGTCCGCAGGTTGATGCTCAATCCACAGCCAAGCTGGCTAGGGCTCAACACCCTTTCTTGATAAAAACTCTCAGCAAAGTGGGAGTAGAGGGATCATACCTCAACATAATAAAAGCCATATGTGACAAACTACAGCCTACATCAGTGGTGGCGAACCTATGACACCTCTGACACGCGAACTCATTTCTATATGTGACACGGCACCAGAGTTAAGTTAGGGTTTCTCAAAATGCTGACACGCCGAGCTCAAAAGGTTCACCATCACTGGCCTACATCATACTCAGTGGGCAACAACTAAAAGCATTTCCCCTGAGAACAGGAACAAGACATGGATGCTCACTTTCACCTTTCTTATTCAGCATAGAACTAGAAGTCCTAGCTATAGTGATCAGACAAGAAGAAAAAGTAAAAGCCATCCAATTGGAAAAGAGGAAGTAAAACTCTCATTATTTGCAGATGACATGGTATTGTACATAGAACACCCTAAAGACCCCACCGTAAAAACTGTAGATTTAATAAATGAATTTGGCAATGTAGCACTATTGAACATTAACACCCAGAAATCTATGGCATTTTTATACACCAATAATGAACTCACAGAAAGAGAAACTTAAAAAAAAAAATCCCATTTACCATTGCAACAAAAAAATTAAGATGCTTAGGAATAAACTTAACCAAGAAGGTGAAAAATTTGTACTTGGAAAACTACAAGATATTGAAAAAAAGAGAGAGGCAGATATAAACAAGTGGAAGAATATACTGTGTTTATGGATTCAACATCATTAAAATGCCCATACTACTTAAAGCAATTTATAGATTCAATGCAATTCCTATTAAAATACCAAT